GAAAGAAGGCGTAACTTTTATTCTCGCTGTACTATTGTTGTTGCCGCCGCCGCCATGTCGTGGAGACGCTATGTGTTTCGTTGTGAAAGCGAAACTACTTTGTTTGGCCTTCCAAAAGAGGACACGACTAGAAATCAGTGGTTAAGTTGTATTTACAACACTGTTCCAGAACAGTTCAACCCAAATATTCAGATGTGTGCTGCGCATTTTATGGAGGATGAGGACTGTTTCCTGAACCAGTAGTCTACAATGTGTCTGTGGCACAAAGGTTGTTTCTATAAAGTGGGGCAGTTCCAACTTTGCAAGGACAGTCTGGCGCTTCTTACTCACAGCCTGTAAGCACGTTTTTTATATTTAAATAATTTGCCACTGATGATTCAACTGGTGAGTTTTGAGCAGTGTAGAGTAGCGCTTGTTGTTTGTTGTTTCTCCGATCACAAATGCAGACATGATTTTATTTTTACGCGGCGCGATACGCAACGCAACGCGTAAAAAGACAGTATAAGTCATTATAATCCATAATTGCATCCCACTGGATGCAACAAATGCCTCATTTGTAATGGGTTTTATTGGTTTTGTCTCGTCCTGCTGGGAGACGGCATCACAGTATGGTAAGGGGCGTAACATTTCCGTCACACGCTTGAGGCATTCGGCCAATCACAACGCACTGGATAGCTGGCCAATCAGAGCACACCTCGCTTTTTAGAATGATGAGCTTTGTAAAAATCGACGCGTTTCAGAAAGGCAGGGCAAAGAGGAGAAACAATAATGTACATTATATGGAAAATAATGTGTTTTTTGAACCTTAAACCGCATTGCATTACACCAAATACACAAAATAATGTTCTTTTTAGCAACGTCATATGACCCCTTTAATAAGTACTATAATAGCATATAAAAACACTAAAGTATTAAATGTACTAAAAGTAATTGCATGTACGTGCTAAAAATGTATATTAGTTTCTCTGCTTTTAGGTGTAAACTAACATATAGTTGACTCTAAAGCTTACAGAAAGTCCAGTGTTGAACTGATTTCTTTCAGATGATCACTCTTTGTCAGCCATTCATTCTGAGTCAACAGCGCCCCCTTGTGGCACCACAATACCTGTTTGTATTTTGACTCTGTGCAGTTTGGAGGTAAACTGGTCATTGACTGTAAACACATGGCCGCTCTCGATCTCTTTACTCTTGGGCTCTTTCGTGAGAACTCTCTGGGTGGGTTTCCCACAGGCTAGAGACTGCAGGGCCCGGACCAGCTCGCGCTCAGGGATGTCTGTCTCCTGCTGGATCTCCTAAAGGGTTAAAGAAGGGTCGACATGGGTGAAGGTTAAACTGATCGGATAAGCAGGGCGTTTAGATCAGGAACAGGTGGATAGGAGGTTTTACCTCAAAGGTAAACTTCCCTCTGTTGTTGAAGAGCATGAGGATGGTCATCTGGAAGGTGGACACCTGCAGAATGTGCTTCCGTGTGTTTGAGCCTGTTAGCAAAGCCCCGCCGACACCAACATCTGAGCCATCCTCCTAAAGAAAGAAAGAGAAAGAGAGAGAGAGAGAGGGAGAGGGAGAGAGAAAGAGAGTCATTTAATCATTTATTTAAGAAATAATTATAACCATTTATTACAAACAACCACCATGTGAGAAAGAGTCCAATGACAAAAAAATGTTCAGTCCTCACTAAAAGAAAAAAATGCTGCGTGAAACAACAAAATCACAGCCAATCAGAACATATTTGATGTTTAATATGTGGTTATGAGGAGGAGGATTTTAGACCAATGATATTCCACGGTGGGTGGAGCTACTCGGCACAGCAGGATAGAAATAAAAACCAAGTAAATGATAATATGTCATGTCACCCATCTTGTCACATAGACAAACTTGGGGGGGGGAGCATGTCCTAAAAGGTTGAAAACCCCTGATTTAGGGTGTTGAGGTGAGTCGTACCTTCTGAAGACCTCAAAAGCATGGCGTGGAGAGGGTGGGATGTTGCATTTTGGCGTGGCTGACTGCTAATCCAAAACGATAAGCAAACAGAGTTGAAGCAGCATGAAAACAGCACCCACCTGGAAGAACTCAGCAGACATGTCTAAAAACGGGACTTCAAAATCCTCCTCGTAGATGGACCGACCTTCTAACCCCAAAACCATCAGCATCTGACAGGCATTCCTGATGGCCCCTCTGCCATAAAACATGACAGCACAAACAAGATAAACACCCATTCCTTTACAACTGTGTATGTGTCTATAGACTTACAGCTGAAAGCTTTCATTCTTTAACTGGAGCACTGGAAAGAGAGACAGAATGACAGAAGAACACACACCTGTCAACCACCTCTCCCCTGCGTTCTCGAGCGATCATGTCCAGTAGAGTTTGTCTGAGATGATCTCTGATGCAGCCATACCGCACAACCTGATCTCTGAAGATGATCAAGCCGAGATTGTAGACATTCTCCACATTATTCTGCTGAACATACACACGGTCCTAGACAGAGGGAGAGAGAGAAAACATTCATGCAGGTTAAAACAGAGGGTTCAAATCCAGGCTTTGTAGTGTCCCAATTAGGGACGCACCAAAATGCCGAAACCGAAACTTCTGGATGCACTTGACCGAAAACCGAAACCGGTTTTTAATAATTAATAAATAATTTTATTAAATAATAAAAAAATAATTTTGTAAGACTTCATTTAAACTAAATAATTTTAATGATACTGAATTTAAAGAATATAAAGCTAATAAAATACAAGAGATCAACACCACAGAGAGACACCTGCAACATCAAGACAAACCACACAGTTTTGCATTTGCATTGTTTCAATGTTCTTTTTCTGTAAATGTGGACTTGGAGTGAATAGGCCCTTAGGTAGCAGTAATTATAGTTAGCTTATTTTAAAAACAACAACATAAGTCAAAGTGGAATGTGTGTGTGCGTGTGTGTGTGTGTGTGTGTGCATATGCACCTGTGATGTCTGCAGGTGGTGGCGGAATTCATCCATAGTGGTATTAGAGATGCTCATATCCCTAAACATGCCCTCCAGTTTAGAGGTGAACTGACAACCGCACTCCGTCTGAGAGAGAGAGAGATAGAGAGAGAGAGCATGAGTATCACATTAGACACAGAGGAATACAGTGAATGAGAGTAATGAAGGATATGACGTTCACCTTTAGTTTGGAGATCATATTTTTTTCAGAGTCATCTGAAACACTCTTATTGGTTAAGAGTCTTCTGGCCAGGTGCTGTTTGTAGTAACGCTCAAACACGTCCTTCTCCTGCATGAACCTGAACAGTACCATGGCCTTATCCAAGATAGACTCCACCTCCTGTTCTGTCAGCTACACACAAACACAATTATAAGGAAACAATTAAGAGATTAGTAATAACTTTGTTTCTGTATTATTTATATACTATAACAACACTTATGGTAACACTTTACAATAAGGTCCCATTAGTGTTAGTTAATGCATTAACTAACATTAACTAACAATGATCAACATTTGTTACAGTATTTATTCATCTTTTTTAACATTAGTTAATAAAAAAAAAAACTGCTTATTAGTTCATGTAAGCTCAGGTCCATTAAGTAATATTAAAATATACAACCTTTGATTTTAATAATGCATTAGTAGATAGATGTAGATGTATTTTTTTATTGTTAGTTCATGTTGCGGTAGTTTTACCGTATTTATTTTAATTAGCTTTTATTTTCTAATTTTTAGTTTTCATTTTAATTTTAGTTTAAGTTCTAAGAATTCTGTTGTGTGCTTTTGTCATTTAAATTTTTTTTTATTTTTTTTGCAAATACTTCTATTTAGCTTTAATTTTCTTATTTCGGTTTCAGTTTTATTTTTTATTTAATTAGTTACAAAGGCAACACTTTCAATTTTCATTTAAGTTCTTTAAGTTTTTAATCTAATGTTTATATTTTATTTCAGCTTTATTTCAATGAATAAAAATGTTTTTTAACAGTTTTAGTTAACTACACTATGTTGTTTGTTTATGTGGATATACATTCATCCATCAATCCATACCTATAATATATAACTCATATGCATGACAGTTCGTCCACTTTCACTGGACAGAAGTTGTTAAAATTGTCCATGTAGCAAAATGGTGTTTTTTTTAATTATGTCTTCAATATTGAACCAAATATATTGACCAAATTTGTAGGCAGAGTTTTCATCTTAAGAGCTAAAGATGGTAAAGCTAATCTCTCACCCCCTTCACTCCTTTCTTGAGTTTGTCGTCGATAAAGAGCGACAGGTACTCGGGTGATCGGGAATTGAGGTTGAGGAAATACTCAAAGTCTCCAGCGATAGTCTGTTTGAACAGCCTGTCATTGTTGAAGGACTCCTGCAGGAACCGGTCGAAGCGTGACTTCAAGTCCAACAAACCCTAAATGATTCAGATGAGAAAAATGAGAAAACGAGCATGCTTACTACTTATTACAACCCTACAGATTGTTGAGGCTGTTATATGTACACATTTCCACTAGTCTGAACTCTTTAACTTTGGCAGATTCATTTCCTCATGTTGGTAAATGTGTACCTGAATGTAGTCAACTGGGTTCTTGCCCTCTCCTTCCTCTGACACCAGCGCTTTACCCTGTTCTCTGAGGTACCAGCTCATGCACTCACACATCGTCTTCAGCCCGTTAGGAACCCGACCAAACAACTTATACATGCACGCCAGGTCTGAGAGAGAAAAGTGAGAAAAGATGAGAGAAACTGAATGAAATACGAAGCAAGAGAGGAAAATAGAAAGCTAGGGATAGATGATCGATCAAAACAAACAGCTGCTGACCTTCTGTCTTTCCATTCTTGAGCATGTGGACCAGTCCCGAGTTCTCCATCTCCACGATGGTCTTCATGTGTTTGGAGATGAGCTCTCTCTCCACCACCTTCACAATGGGCTCCTCAGTCGATTTATCCAGGCAGTGCATCACTCGTTCAATCTCTTCGTTTATCCGAGCCTCCACTTTCTTGATGTAGACGCTGGCACTGTTCTCCGCTAGAAACTTCTGACTTTCCATCTGCACAGATCCACACAAACATATAAACAGGGATATCATAACTACCACTGGTCAATACAGCCAGCCAAGCATAAATGAGCAAATTGATCAATTCAGGTCTTAACAATGAGGTTTTTTTTTTCTTTTTCAGATAAGTATTGGATTTGTACTTCCCAGCATTTTTTTACTGGCCATACCACAAAAAAATGACAAATTGTATTTTAAATCAATATATTGTACCAGAAAAAGACATTATATTTAATTATACACTTTTGCAATAATACTTGCTTTTAATCCGTAATCATAGCTGGAAATGCTGGAATTTTTAAAGAATATAAAAATCTGTATTTTATTATTACATCATCACTTTTTGAAAGAAATGAAATTGATAATAGTAAGAAATGTTTCTTGCACACTTTTATTGAAAGTAAAACAATAAAATTGGACAGAAAATATTTTAAATAGGGCTGCCCCCTAATAGTCGACTAACCTTTAGTCGACGACAAGAGGCTTGGTCGACCAAAATGTTATTAGTCGCAGAAAAAAAAATCCACAGGAAGTGGTGAGGTCATGCAGTCCGTGACGGACAGATCGTTAACGGCTGAATTTTGTGGTAATACAGTACATCCAAACGCTCGCCTATCATTCATCGACCTCAAATATGGCGTATCATCTGAAATATACAAATAGTAGCAACTTTCCATGGCCGCTCAATCTAAAGTTAACCTAGAAAAATGTGCGCTATTCAAGTCTCTGAACAGTAGCGCGCTCACAGCATGACAGCTAGAGATGTTGGTGCGGTCTCCGTCATTTTGGTCATACAGATAAGAGTAATACATTAAATTCAATTCAATTCAAGTTTATTTGTATAGCGCTTTTCGCAATACAAATCGCTGCAAAGCAGCTTTACAGAAAATTAAGTTTCTACAATATATTTAGTAGTAGCTTGTCAGTGGTGATTATATATTATATATATATATATATATATATATATATATATAAAGTATCTAATTGCAATAAGAAACTTTATACAAAAACATTTTTTACTGACCCCAAACTTTTGAATGGTAATGCCTGAATCTAGTGAAATACCAGCACAACTGCACTTTAAACTGATGTTCAGATGTACATAAAATATCTCATTACGATTTTTTTTGTCTGTGGCCATGGCAGTGACAATTAAATGTTTTGTAATATCCAAAATGATAAGCAAAGAGAGTAAAAGCAGTATAAAAGCAGTACCCACCTGAAAGAACTCAGCAGACATGTCTAAAAATGGGATTTCAAAATCCTCCTCGGCGCTCACGCCATGGCGGGTTCGCTATTTACCTGGCGGAATGTAATTTTTCATTTTTAAAAATGTTTGTGTGCTGCTGCGCGTCCCTGTGTGTGTAATAAGCAAAGTGTACGCGTGTTGTGCACCCGCATATAGGCGCATATTACTATCGCGCTCTTTAAATAACAAAGAAAAAATATTGCGCCAGACTTTAGACCAGGTTTGAGTTGGTCTATGGCGCAGTCTATTTTCAGTTCCTCAAAATAGCAACACGCCAACAATGCGCCTGAACACACCTCTTTTTTAGGCCAGCGCGCCCATGGGCTTAAATGCATTTGCTATTTAAACAACGCAGCGCAAGACGGGAAAATGAGAACTGCGTCGTGCTGAAACTAGCAAAAACACTTGCGCCACATTGAGCCGGGTGTATGATAGAGCCCACTATGTTTATTTGTGTGCACTCACAATAACAACAAAACATTGCGCTTTTGTAAAATAATGAAAGCAAACAGGGTGCGCTTTCTGCCGTCTCGGCCTCTGTGAACATGAGGGCGAAACTCTATCTATGGAGAGTGAAATGTCTACTTTCAAATGAAACAATTCAAATCTGAAAAAAAAAAAAAAAAAAAATTCTCAGATTATGTAATCCGTATGAAACATGCATACAGGCGCATCCACTACTGTGGCGATGACGAGTCAGTGTCGCCGACTTCGTCTCTTAAGCCGAAAACACTAGTTTATCAATAGGTTATCAATATGTTAATGCAGTTTAATCTTACTGTTTTTCCCTGACACATTCATAATCATTACTTCTGCCGGTATGCCGTGGCAAGCTTTATGCGTGCGCTTGAGCGTTTATTAGGCTATGTAGGCAATTAAAGGCTCATTATCATGATTTAAATGGTTTATAAACATGCGATTAGTCGACTAATGCTAAAAATTAATGACTACTAGTCGACCACAAAATTCTTTAGTTGAGGGCAGCCCTAATTTTAAATATCAATATATTATTTTTATTCAGTTCTATACAACAGAATCAGATTTAACAGATTTTTTTTTGTTTAATTATCCAAATATATATATATCAGAATCAGAATCAGAAGAGCTTTATTACCAAGGTCCAAGGTGATTTTTTTAGCCCTTTTCCTCACTCTGGAGATGTAAAGATCTTGGAGGCTGGGCAGAGGGGCACCAATAATCCTCTCAGCAGTCCTGACTGTCCGACTGTAGTCTCTTGATGTCTCATTTGGTAGCTGATGTTCGGCCAGCTGTTGCATCGCGGCGCTCACGCACGCGTCCGGAGTATACATTTTATTGTAAGAGTAATACTTGTGATCTTTCAATGATGGTGACGTTGAAGTCATGTGACTGGTGTACTTCATTTATAGCCTACGTTTAGCTCTTTACCTCTGGCGATTGTATTCAGGCTTCAAAATTCATAAATGTCATGTTTACTTGTGAAGATTATCATGAACAAAACGTGCAAGAATCATAAACTTTTGTTGGTCACAGAGCTTATTTTCTGCAATAATTTAAATCCTACTGGGTTTTTGTCAAGAGAACAAGAGTGATGCTAACTTCAGGTTTGGCTTACTACTAAAATGTCACAACTGCAGTGTCCTATGGTCAGGTCAGTAAATGTTTAGGATCATTAAAACTTTTTAGAAGGTTGTGTGATCCATGAGTCCCTCCCTGAACCTGCTAAAACAAAGACATCAGAACATCTGTTAAGTTACAACCCACCAAAAAAAGTCTAAACAACTTACCATGTACATCAAAATGTCTCTAATCATGACCATGGCAGTCTGATGATCATTCCATGCTTGATTTAACGTCTGCAGGAAATTGTTATTTAAAGAGTGAAGCACGTCTTCTCGTACCTGAAGACAGGCAAAAAAAAATCAAAGCTGTTATGAGAGCAGCTCAAGCACATGGGTTTCATCCACCTGAGTGTACAATGACATCACCCTGTGAACAACTCCACTGGGACGGGCAGGTTTCCGCCATCTGCTTCATCTCCAGAACTGACATCATTAACAGCCAGCACCAGAGATAAAACCCCAGGGTTTTCATTAAGCTATATATAAATATATATGTAGTGAAGATGTGAGACCGTGTCCTTAAGATCTTCTCAAATCAGTCTGTTCAATTTAAATTCTCATCACACGCCATCAAATTCATTAAGCAGGTCTTTTAAGCAGTGGTGAAATCACTGTAACATCATCTCGTGTGGCTTACTGCTAATTTAACTTCAGCAACTAAAGCCTGTGACACTTTATAACACTCAAAAGTTGAATCCAGATCTCTAGGAACTCATGTGTTTTCTCTAAAGCCTTACAGGAAAGATCTAAGAGTGAGACAGGAGCTCATACTTTGTTGATGAGGTGTTCGGTGACCACCTCTCTGAGGCCCGTGTAGAGCTTCTCCCCATGTTTGTGCAGCACCATGGTGTAGGCGTTCCTGTAGAGCTCCTCAAAGCTCAGCCCACTGTTGTTCTTCCGCTGGATCTCCTGGATGGCGTTCTTCAGAAGATCCCAGATGTTATTCACATACTTCTCATCCATGGTCATCTACAAAAACAAACAAATCACCAAATTATAAAAAAAAAAATTGAAACGCTTATGACAACTAGATACAAAACGTTTTAGGAGGGATGCGCCTTATCAGCACGGACCAATATTGTTTTTTATTCAAATAAATTATCAGCATCATTCTAATTGGACCAAGATTGGTTTAATAAAACAGTGTGTATTTTCCAATTAAAGCTGCATACTCTTTCTGATTAGATGGTTGCAAAAGTACTAAAAAGTTATTGCATGTCTTACATATTATTACACTTACATATTATAATGCCACTTTATCGTTTTAAACATATATATATATATATAATGATTTAAATTTACATATTATAATATGATGACGATGTTTGGTTTTAACTTGCAAAATGTGTGTAAACATTAGCCAAAACACAGCATAGATCTATAAAATTGGCCTAACATCGATATGACATTGGTGTAACATTTATCAGCTGTAAGCAATGGCCAAAACTTTTACAGTACTAGCAGGTAATTTAGTCAAAACTGAAATAATATACACTTACATATAGCACAAGATCTGCTGTACACTACCATTAAATGTTTCTGATTATGCTCAGTCTAAGTCTGCATTTATCAAAAATGCAGCAAAAACAGTTACACTGTGAATTATTATAATGTAAAAAATTCAATGTGAATATATTTTGAAATGTAAATGCTATTACTGTGATGGCTGATTTCCAGCATCATTACTCCAGTCTTCAGCGTCACATGATCCTTCAGAAATCATGCTAATATGCTGATTTGTTGCTCAAGAAACATTTCTAATAATATATATGTTTTTTTTTCATCAATGTTGATAACAGTTGGGCTGCAAAATATATTTGTGGAAATCTTGATACATTTTTGATGGATAGAAAGTTTAAAATAACAGCATATATTTGAAATAGAAATCTTTTGTAAAACCATACATTTCTTTATTGTCACTTCTGATCAATTTAATGCATCCCTGCTGAAAAAAAAAAAGAATCATATTGACCTCAAACTTTTGAACCGTATACTCGACTCAACTCAAGTTTTTAGACGCCGAGACTCACTTTGCTCTCTGCACACATCACAACCTTGCAATCACAAAAGAGGAGACCTCATTGACTTTATTCAGCACAGGAAACCGTAGGCCACTTTCTGAGCCCGTTAAAAGTAAAACGACTTACAACATTCTAATGTGCATTTAATGTGCCAACAGGACTGCAGGTCACTTGCTCATATGCTCAACCCTTGATACTGGGCCAACAAAATCAATTTTCCTTCACGACCAAATCTACAGGCCAACTCCAGAGCTCCTGATAGCTTCAAGTGACTCAGCAGAGCTAATCTCACAAACAAGAAGTCTAATGGCTAATCATATGTGTGAATTACATTTTTAAACAGCAGTGAGTAATTATGCAAGTCAAAACAACACTTCAGCACAGCTCATGCTAATTATAATGCTTGTCACGGTGTTAGTAATACTGCTCCTGTGATAAATCAACACGCATTGTAGATTCAGACACAGAGAACGCCTCGCTCTCACCCATCTGTCTCTCTCTGTCTGCTAAGCCTTAAGACAGACAGGTTTTGAGACTCATCGATCTGTGTAGACTAGTCTATGGATTAAAGAAATTAATGTGGGTAAAATCTTTACAAGTGGGTGTGAGTGTGAAAGTCCACCTCTTACAACATTTTGCTAAAAGGCTACCTGAATCACATTTGGTTTGGCAATCGTTGGATTCTGCAGAAGACAGTTGCACTTTCGAAAAAGTTAAGCTAACACAAAGAGGAACCAGTTTTTCCATGAACAGGAATCCCTGAAGCAAAACGTGTGCATGTGTGTCAAGCAAGTAAGTAGGCCCAGGTTTCCAAACTGGGTTTCTGTAGGATCAGGTCATGTCGATGCAAAGGCACTGATGAAGAAAGTCCAGAGAGTCTTTGAACAGTAAGACATACATTACCCAAAACCGTAAACCCTGATCATTTCACGGTATTGGCACATAGCATTCATGAATTTGCCAGACACACTTACCCAAAGTGACTTTGTTTGCATTTAAAGTGTACATTTTATCAGCTCATGCATTCGCTGTGACTTGAACCCTTGCTCTGCAGTTCAAGCTAAAGGAATGCTAAAAGCACTTATATTCTTTTATTAAAACAAGTCTGAACTTCATTTAAAAAACAAGTTAGAAGACTATAAACTTACACTACTGCTCAAAAGTTGGAGGTTGTTTTTTTTTAATGTTTTTAAGTCTCTTATGCTCACCAAGGCTGCATTTTTTGAACAAAAATACAGTAAAAACTTGGGGTGGGGGAAAAACATCGATACAGCATAGCATCGCGATATTTTCCGCAGCAATACTGCATCGATACACGGACGCCAAGTATCGATCTTTTATTATACTATTTGGTTGAATAATAAAATAAATTTCTTTACAGTCCACTAGATGGTGGTGTTGAGTTGTTTTCTAAAATGTACGGCAAGCAGTTGATTATCCCACTTCTTCCATGGTAATTTGCCAAGTTATAGACAAGTTATGTGAAAGTCCACCTCTTACAACATTTTGCTAAAAGGCTACCTGAATCACATTTGGTTTGGCAATCGTTGGATTCTGCAGAAGACAGTTGCACTTTCGAAAAAGTTAAGCTAACACAAAGAGGAACCAGTTTTTCCATGAACAGGAATCCCTGAAGCAAAACGTGTGCATGTGTGTCAAGCAAGTAAGTAGGCCCAGGTTTCCAAACTGGGTTTCTGTAGGATCAGGTCATGTCGATGCAAAGGCACTGATGAAGAAAGTCCAGAGAGTCTTTGAACAGTAAGACATACATTACCCAAAACCGTAAACCCTGATCATTTCACGGTATTGGCACATAGCATTCATGAATTTGCCAGACACACTTACCCAAAGTGACTTTGTTTGCATTTAAAGTGTACATTTTATCAGCTCATGCATTCGCTGTGACTTGAACCCTTGCTCTGCAGTTCAAGCTAAAGGAATGCTAAAAGCACTTATATTCTTTTATTAAAACAAGTCTGAACTTCATTTAAAAAACAAGTTAGAAGACTATAAACTTACACTACTGCTCAAAAGTTGGAGGTTGTTTTTTTTTAATGTTTTTAAGTCTCTTATGCTCACCAAGGCTGCATTTTTTGAACAAAAATACAGTAAAAACTTGGGGTGGGGGAAAAACATCGATACAGCATAGCATCGCGATATTTTCCGCAGCAATACTGCATCGATACACGGACGCCAAGTATCGATCTTTTATTATACTATTTGGTTGAATAATAAAATAAATTTCTTTACAGTCCACTAGATGGTGGTGTTGAGTTGTTTTCTAAAATGTACGGCAAGCAGTTGATTATCCCACTTCTTCCATGGTAATTTGCCAAGTTATAGACAAGTTAAAACTAGTATTGCTCTTTGCAGCGCAATATTTGACCAAATGGGTAAAAATTACGGTTATTTTGGTCAGTAACGGAATTATAGAATTACAGAATTATAACATTTATTTGAATTATCGATTGTTTGTTCGAGAGAGAGAGAAAGAGAGAAAGATGACAGTTGTGTGTGTGAATTACCTGTGTCTGTGCATCTCTCTCTACAAACAATGAAGTTGTGAGTTTAGTTACTTAAACAGAGATGTTACCTCCTCGTTGCTGAGGAATATAATGCAGTGATCCAGTATCTAAGCCATTTTATTAATGGAAGTAGCAGGGCAGCGTTGACAAGTTTGGCCTACTCCTAAACGTTTCTGTGTGCGCAGCGGGATCTCCGATCTCCCTCTCTCTGTGTGCAAGTGATGTGTGTGTGCGTTCGTGTGTGTCAATTAAAGCAGCGGCGCATTAATATAGAACAGTAATTAAACTGACTTGGAACTACCTGTGCATTAAACGGTTTTAATGCATATCTGCCAGCCAATCAGAATCAAAAATTCCAACAGACCATGGAATAAATGAAAGTAAAATATTCTAAGAGCACAGCAGTGCATAGTATACCTGTTGTAGCACATTGTTTACTTTAAGAGTAAATGTTGTTTAATTTAAATGTAACATTTTTATTTTAATGTAAGACTATGTTTTATTTATTTTAAATTTAGCAGTAAATTACTTTCAAATGCCCCAATTGCTAACCGAGACTTGTCATTTGCACTTATATATTGTTACTATTTTGTTAGTTTTGACTGCTTTTATTGTCCTCATTTGTAAGCTGCTTTGGATAAAAGCGTCTGCTAAATGACTAAATGTAAATGTAGTAAATTTCACAAATAATTAAAGAATTGTCAAGTAACAGCAGTTTTGAAGTTTAAAAACTGGAAAAAAATATATTTTTGTAAAACCTACTCCTATGAAAACTCATTTTTACAGTGAAATTGTAAAATATTGAGAATTTAGTTTCAGATTTTTTAAAAACATGTATTATGCACACACACACAAACACACACACACACATACACACACATACACACACACACACATATATCGCAGAATATTGCAATATATTTAAAATCGCAATAATATTGTATCGTGACACAAGTATCGTGATAATATCGTATCGTGGGGCCTCTGGTGATTCCCACCCCTAGTAAAAACAGTAATATTGTGAAATATTATTACCATTTTAAATAATAATAGATTTATATTTATTCCTGTGTAGGGGTGTGCGATATATATCGTCTGCGATAATATCATAACTGTTGTTTTAACGATGTGCGATTTGACATTATCGAGTATTTTGCAAAAAACTTTCAAAATACCCCTACAGAGCGTATGCATACATTACGTGAAGTCTAGACTAGTGCGCGCGTGCATTTAGAGTGCTGATGATTCAGTCTATTACAATACATTTAGAATGATCACAAATTCAAGACATGGGGGCAGAAAATGTATATATTTATACCACTTCAAATAGCCTAGTTAATCAATTTCACACGAAGAGTGCCGTTTTTTTCTCCAAAAATGACAATGATTACAAATGTGATATTGATTTTTTACAAAAGGTCAAAATGCCCATAAAATGTAAAAATCAGTTAAAACTTATTGGAAAAGATTTATTTCTATCAGTGTGAACTGACCACTGCACAGAATATGAAGAATATCAAGTCAGCTGTCCACGGCAGTCCTTAACATATCAGCACAATAACACACTCAGCAAAATATCGTCTAATTATCGTTATCGATAAAATCCCAGAAAATATAGAGATATTCTTTTTTGTTAATATCGCACACCCCTATTCCTGTGTTTGCAAAGCTGAATTATCAGCAGCCATTACTCCGGTCTTCAGTGTCAGAAATCATTCTTATATGCTGATTTGGCACTCAAGAAACATTTCTTATTATTATCAATGTTGAAAACAGTTGTGCTACTTAATACTTTTGTGCAAACCATGCTACATGTTTTTTTTTTTTCAAGATTTAAGAATAGAAAGTTGAAAAGAACAGCATTTATTTGAAATGAAATCTTTTGTAACATTATAAATGTCACTTTTGATCACTTTATTACATCCTTGCTTAATAAAAGTGTCCATTTCTTTAACTTTTGAATGGCAGTGTATATAAACTATAAAACAACTTTGCACATTTCTATAAAATGATGAATCCTGGAACAGTGACCCAATGGGACTGAAGGGTTTGAAGATTAATTAAAAGTCAGATCACAAAATTACAGGTGACTATCTGCAGTAACAGGACTCAATTTTGTGCTGTTTTGGAGGTACAACAAAGCAAGAACAACCAGAAGAATCATAACTGGTTAGGTCTGAATTTACTAAGTAATGTGCAGTAAAGGATTTTGAAAATGACAGCAAGCACCAAGCTTCTATATGCTACTGATTTTGACAAAGATATGTCCATGACACCATGACCTTTAATAAGGAACTGCATGTTCATGTTTCAAGGCACAATGAAAAGCTAAAGAGAAACTTGACAAACAATGTGAATGCAGAAGAGAGCTGAGAGAATGTGGGGTGTATCGGGTGAGAATACAGGCCACATATTGAGAGGGTAATACTATGACGACAAAGTAAAGGCAGCTGTGAGATTTCTAATGAATTCCTCTGACAGTTTGGGTTAAACAAATCAATTTTGCTTGGTTGGAACAGCAGCTACGCTAATTATGTTTCTATTTGTTTCTCTGTTTTTTGCCACGGGATTGACATCCCGTGGTAACTAGGATTTACACAAGCTTCAGTCTGGATCCAGAACACCTGAGAAGAGATGATGCCAACCCCTCAGAGGACCTCAGATGATGCCAACCCTGAAACAACATACAGAACTACCACATTTTGCTATAAGTTTGATTGCATCATATAATAATTGCAGTTAATAGTGTTCATTGTCTGTTTTATTATGTCTTAAATTGATTTTTCCGTACTGCTGGTTCGTCTGGTCAGAGGAGAACTGGCCCCCCGACTGAGCCTGGTTTCTCCCAAGGTTTTTTCTCCATTCTGTCACCGATGGAGTTTTGGTTCCTTGCCGCTGTCGCCTCTGGCTTGCTTAGTTGGGGACACTTCATTTCCAGCGATACCGTTGACTTGATTGCAAAGATACTATTTAAACTGAGCTGGATGTTGACATCACTGAATTCAATGATGAACTGTCTTTAACTGAAAAATTTGTTTACTATTGTCATTTTGCATTATTGATACACTATTTTCCTAATTAATGCTGTTCAGTTGCTTTGACACAATCTGTATTGTTAAAAGCGCTATATAAATAAAGGAGACTTGACTTGACTTGACAGGGCAAGACACGTCCAACCCAACAAGTAGCCTAAACGCAGCTTCTGAACGAAATCTTATCTGAACCAAAATGCCATTCACACAGTCCTGCGGACATGCTGACAGGTGTCAGGGGGTTTCCAGACCTTCAAGAGAAGAATATTTCCGATGCACAAACAGAAAATAACTGCATGGAAACATTTTCACTTCTCTGCATATCATCAAGTAATTCTGACCTAGTTCATTCCATCAGAGCATCACCAACACACCGACAGTCCTGCAATGCACATAATTTGTTCTGAGTGGAGCTAATAAAAGAACAGAAAATTGCAGAATATTGCAGAGAGATGCACGTCATACTGATGCAAAGGGTGCTGCAGTCACTGTGAAAGACAAAAACACAGCTGCTGAGGACATCAATCATCAGTGTGATAATCTACACAACACTAACAAACACCTATGACACCTGAAGACTATCTAAACCTGAGGTTTTCAAAATGGGGTCCGGGGAACACCAGGGGGCTACAAAAGAGTGCTAGGGGGTTCGTAAAAATAAACAAATAAAAAGACTAAAATAAATATAAAAAATTTATTAAAATAAATAAAAATTAGATGTGCGACCAGTACAGCTGATGGGCACCATTTACTTCCATTGTAGGAAAAAAATACTATGGAAGTCAATGGTGCCCATCAACTGTTCGGATATTAACATTTTTCAAAATATCTTCTTTTGTGTTCAACAGAGGAAAGAGACTCATACAGGTTTGGAATAAGTGAGGGTGAGTAAATGATGACAGAATTTTCATTCTGGAAGTGAACTAATCCTTTAATTTTCCATAATATAATTGTCTTTATACATAAAAACATATAGCTGCCTTTCAAATTTTAGAAAGGGATCCCTCATACCAGGATGATCATAGTAGGGGTCCTTGGCATCTAAAAGATTGACAAACCTCTGGTCTACGCAACAGCAGCCTGAGCCTCAACAAAACACAGCACCAACCAATGACAAGAAACTAAATTAACCAGACAACAAAACCATAACAATCAGTATAGTAATATATACAGCATCGATGACAATGAAAAAAGAAAAAAAAAATCAATCATCAACACCGCAAACAACAACCAGTTACAGCAAAACACACAACATCAAACATTTGAGTGGCAACAAAACAGCAAAGTGCCAGCCTGACAACTCAAGACCCAAAACCAGATCAAAACACAAGAAGACAAGCAGATCAAAAGGAAAGACTTCATGTTCTCTGAAGGATCTACAGTGCTGTACGTATCTACAGTTTTACGGTCAAAACATAAAGACTCTGTACGAAAGAATCATTGAGTTTTGAACACTTTCTACACTGAAAACATGCAACCTCAAAACATGTAAACCCGCTGTGGCCTGCTGCTCTGACCGATCCCCGGCTCTCGAGTTCTCCCCACGACCGCCTGAGGCGCGCTCATCTCGGCTGATACTCACGGGAAAGGCGCGGATCCGCATCTTGGTGTCCTTCTTGGTGCCGGGTTTGAGGTTGGACATGTTTGGGTTAGGGAGCGATGCCATCAACAGATGTTAGGGTGGGTGTGTTGAGGGGAAACACGGACAAATTTCGCCCTCTTTCCCCCCCAGGTTTGAGTCCCTGTAGCTTACTCTCCCTCTGTCTCTACAGCGATGGCGGATGACTGGGTGACATCTCGCGAGAGTGTTGATTGTGCTAACAGGAATGCATCCAATATCGCGAGAAAGGGGGCCAGCTGGGGCTGACATGTGGTAAACAGCAGTCTGGCGCTGAAGAAAGAACAACTTTCATGGATTCACCGGTATCGTAGTTTAAAACAATATCATGAAGTGTGATAATGACATCTAACACCATTAGTATGTTATGGTAGTATTTCTTAGATTTAGTTTCCAAATATAACTAGGATTATTTGTATTTAACCTTTTATATTTAGTTATTTAGCAGACGCTTTTATCCCTCATACCAGGATGTTCATAGTAGGGGTCCTTGGCATCTAAACGATTGACCAACCTCTGGTCTACGCAACAGCAGCCTGAGCCTCAACAAAACACAGCACCAACCAATGACAAGAAACTAAATTAACCAGACAACAAAACCATAACAATCAGTATAGTAATATATACAGCATCGATGACAATGAAAAAAGAAAAAAAAAATCAATCATCAACACCGCAAACAACAACCAGTTACAGCAAAACACACAACATCAAACATTTGAGTGGCAACAAAACAGCAAAGTGCCAGCCTGACAACTCAAGACCCAAAACCAGATCAAAACACAAGAAGACAAGCAGATCAAAAGGAAAGACTTCATGTTCTCTGAAGGATCTACAGTGCTGTACGTATCTACAGTTTTACGGTCAAAACATAAAGACTCTGTACGAAAGAATCATTGAGTTTTGAACACTTTCTACACTGAAAACATGCAACCTCAAAACATGTAAACCCGCTGTGGCCTGCTGCTCTGACCGATCCCCGGCTCTCGAGTTCTCCCCACGACCGCCTGAGGCGCGCTCATCTCGGCTGATACTCACGGGAAAGGCGCGGATCCGCATCTTGGTGTCCTTCTTGGTGCCGGGTTTGAGGTTGGACATGTTTGGGTTAGGGAGCGATGCCATCAACAGATGTTAGGGTGGGTGTGTTGAGGGGAAACACGGACAAATTTCGCCCTCTTTCCCCCCCAGGTTTGAGTCCCTGTAGCTTACTCTCCCTCTGTCTCTACAGCGATGGCGGATGACTGGGTGACATCTCGCGAGAGTGTTGATTGTGCTAACAGGAATGCATCCAATATCGCGAGAAAGGGGGCCAGCTGGGGCTGACATGTGGTAAACAGCAGTCTGGCGCTGAAGAAAGAACAACTTTCATGGATTCACCGGTATCGTAGTTTAAAACAATATCATGAAGTGTGATAATGACATCTAACACCATTAGTATGTTATGGTAGTATTTCTTAGATTTAGTTTCCAAATATAACTAGGATTATTTGTATTTAACCTTTTATATTTAGTTATTTAGCAGACGCTTTTATCCATAGCGTCTTGTCTTACAAATGAGGAACATTTACAAGCAATTTACTGGTAGGTTATTGTCGACATTAACAGGAGATTTCTTGTTTTGAATCAGAGATAATAGGAAAAAAAATAACTAGCACGTTATTATATAGCCTAGATTTACAGAAGACACTTACTTAAGAAGCACTTAAAATATATTTGCATTATATTAGCAGAATATCACACCGAGTTGCCTTAAATTTAATGAAATATAGCACAAAAACATTTTACGCAAAACATTTTACAAATAAATAAAAAATGATAACAATTATGCTAAATTTACATTGCAAAGGTGGCACAGAAGCGCTTCTGAAGTGGCATTTTGGTGTCTTTACACAGACTGTTTAATGCTGCTCAGTTGTGCCATAAATTCATTTACACAGCAATTACCCTAGTATACTTTGATACTAGGGGCTCAGGTGGGTCGGAGCAGGTATAATTTAAGACTGGCTTTTATGCAGCATTGCATCGTCATACTGAATTTTGAGCAGGCACAGTGCAGCCTTAACTTAGCGGTGTAAAGACACCTTTAGGAATATTTATTTAATGTATACGTTTCATAATGACAATAAGACAATTTCTGTACTCTTTTTGGTCAAACGTCACTAAAATCTTCTTGTGACAAGTTTGTTAAAAAGAATTTGAAAAATTGCTAAGAAAAGTGGATATTTCGTAGAAGTTCTAGTTCTAGTAATGCCAAACTGACACTGCAAAGGTGGCACAGAAGCGGTTCTGAAGTGGCATTTAGGTGTCTTTACACAGACTGTTTTATACTGCTCAGAAGTGGCTTAACTGCATTTGATACTAAGGGCTGATTAGCAAGCAAGCATCATTTATTCTGGCTTTGATGCAGCATTGTGTCTTTACACTGAATTTTGAGCAGATATGTGGCTGTGTAAAGATGCCTCAATATATATATTTAGGATATTTTGTTATGTAATGCAATACAATTCATACATTTTAACACTGTGATACCACAGTGACTGTAGGCTGGTTTGGCATATTCATGTAACACACAATAGGCAATAGGAACATTTTACACAGTTACATTATTCTTGAGAAATGTTTTATATCAAATGGATAATAAAGAACAAACCACTGAAGTGTAGTACAAAGTAAAACAAACAATCCTTACCCTGCAGGTCCTGCCCGCACCATCTGTATCTGATTGGACATGGACACAGACGTAGGAAGCTGGATTGTGAGTAGTGAATTGCAACAATGCTGGACAGAATCCATAAGTATGTTCTGGGTGCTTATGCAGTTCAGTCCATGTGTGGGAAAAATTATGCGGTACTTCTCAAGCCCTGTTAATTGACTGTGATTGTAGTGATCACCCTGCTGTTTTTGCCTTGTTTTCCCTTAAAGCTACTATAATGCTGTTTCTGGTTGAGGCGTTATTGAGGCCAGCAGGGGGTGTTCATTCTGTGATCTGCATGGGTTTTCATGCCCCAGTATAGAAATTGAAATACTTTATTGTGAGAAGGCGACGTCCTTTAGATGAGACATTAAAGCGAGGATGCTGTGGTCAGTAATAATCCCAAGGTGTCTCTTGAAAAGAGTGGCCAAATTTGCCTGCTGGCAAGCGCAGCTTCCTAAACATTGGCTCCTGTCCACTGATAGCTGGTGTGTGGTGGGCTTTCTGGTGCATTATGGCTGCATCTGGTGCATTGAAAGGATCTGGTCTCACACTGCTCTGTTTAGGAAACATAGGTGACGTTTACCTCAGTGACTGTTTGTGTGCTAAATCTGAAGGCTTGATTTTATTGATTATTTGCATCCTTTGACTGTTGTCTTCACAGTTGTTTTGCTTATTTAATGATCCTTGTAAAAGAGAGCTCTGCATATGAAAATATTTTGAAACGCTTGTTATTTGATGCTTGGTAATGCATCTCTTTAGTAGAGTTGATAAACTGCATTTCTGTGCTATTATTGCTAGTCTATAAATATGCATCATGCAAAAACAAAACATTTGAATAGTCATTGATGCGAGGCATAGGCATAATTAATTAGCTAAGCTAAGTATATTAAAGTTAGTCTAAAACATGTTTCTGAAATGAAATATTAAAGAGATAATTCACCCAAAATGTAAAACTGTAATTTACTCACTGTTATGTCTTTAAAAGCCTGTGTGACTTTATTTCTTATGTTGAACTTCAAAAGAAGATTCTTTGAAAAATGACTTTTTTTTTTTGTCCACATAATGGAAGTCAGTGGTTACCACCATTCTTCAAAATATCTTATTTTCTTCCACATACATTTTTGGCGGAACCATGACTTTTTTTAAAAGATCATCTTTTGATATATGGAGGGCCAAATCTTACAGAAATAAAAAATTATTAAATAAATAAATGTAATGATATTACATTTACATTAATGATAGGCATTAATGACTTGATAAATCAAATCCATTAATTTTTAATTGAATTAGGTCTAAATTTACTTTCGTATGACTTTTTTCCTTTATTATTTTCTTTATTTATTTTTAGCTATATATATA